AAATGAGATCCAAAAGGTATTTATGCAACGGCAGCCATGAATTGTGGAGTTATCTCCAGCTGGCCAACTCCGGAGCAGTCTCACTCCAAACACGCCAAGTTGTTACCATCCAAAAGAATACTCAGCATCCTCAAGAATTTCCCCTTCAACCACTTGGGAACAAATACTTTTAGTCACATATTAACAGTGGATTTATATACACATTACTAAAGACCAAGTCTCATGGATTTAGATAAGACTTTCGCTCTGATTAAGTACGTATACAGTCAAACCTCGGTTCTCGAACGCCTGCGTTATCGCACGTTTCGGCTCCCGAACACCGAAAACCTGGAAGTAAATGCTCCGTTTTTTTAACGTTTTTCAGACGCGGCTTCCGTTTTGAGTTTCCCTATTGATCTGAAGCTTCCACTTTCAGTTTTCAAACGTTTTGGAAGTCAAATGGTCTTCCGGAACTGATTACATTCGAAAACCGAGGTTTCACTGTAGTAGGGATATGGAACCTCAGGCCCTTGGGACTCTCCCCAAGCCACGCCCCTCATCTTGCCTTGCTCTATCCCCTCCTCACGTGCTTTTCCCTGGCTGTAATGCTTCCTTGAACTGTGATAATTTAGCCTCATTTGCCTAGTTGGGAGGATGGATGGATTGGTATAGAAAACTGGCATTTGAATAGCTAGAATGTACCTTACTGTTCAGAAGTTACTTATACAGTATCTGTTGTTTTACCAACTTTTCCTCTGGTGCCGCCCACCACTGGCCTGTGGTCTCTGGAAGGTTGTCTATGTGGGAATTAGGCTCTCAGGCTGAAAAGGTTCCTCACTCCAGAAGTACAGGATTTCAGCCTCAGTAACTTATTGATGCATTAAAATCAGTATAACTTATTAGATTTATTTATTTGCCAAATGAATTTGGCAATGTGGTTTGGAGTTATTAAAAAAGGCCATTTGTGTTTTTATATTGTGATTTTATGTTGTAACCTCCCTGAGACCTGGGGGTATAGGGCAGCATACAAATTTAATAAACAATAATAATAATTTGGTTTTGAACTTTTTGTAGGTGTATCTTAACAATAACCATGGTTAGGTTTGTCAAGTTTGGAATGTATATGGTTTGAGTTATTAAGTGTTAGGTGTTCTTTCTTTAAAAAAAAAAAATCAGTGTTAAATTTTAAGACTGCTGCACCAAACAGCCCTAGGTATGATTAATGAAAGAGAAGAAAAGGCTGGAGTTGGGCATTCCCATGACACAGTCCTGACAGAGTAACCATGATTAGATTAGATTATAGATCAGTCAATACTAATCCTATACAGTTCTGATTAGGGAATCCATGGAATATCTATACAGTCATACCTTGGAATCCATTCCAGAAGTCCATTTGACTTTCAAAAGGTTTGGAAACCAAAGCAAGGCTTCTTATTGGCTGAAAGAAGCTCCTACAGCCAATTGGAAGCTGCAGAAGCCCCGTTGGACGTTCGGCTTCCAAAAATATTTCACAAACCGGAACATTCACTTCTGGGTTTGCGGCGTTTGGGAGCCAAAACGTTCGAGCACTAAGCTGTTCAAAAACCAAGGTATGACTATTTTATGGAACACTATGTATGGACTATAACAAAGGTTCATTCCCCATAAAATATGCTCTCTCACTTAAGGCTGTTTTAATCAAGAGACCTCAATGTCCCTTTCATGCATAATAATTCTATGGCTTCTCATTCAAACTATCAGGATAAAGACCAATGTTCTTTATTTTAAAAATAACGAGATCTGATTGACTGAAGGGTTTCTGTGGGGAGCTGAGGTATTATAACTTGTGCTGGTGTGATCTTCTATAAATGAACCAGAATTAAACAACAAACCTCAAAGTTACGGTAATGGATTTGCGAATTCTTCAGTCGATGAAAGGTTCCTAGAAGACAATCTAACGGATAAGCAGAAAACTCGGAGATAAATTCAACCAAGTCCTCCAGAGGCAGCAAGGTGAACCATGACCTGAACAGTGCTCTATCTCCGTTCATCAAATGTTTCTTATTTTTCATTAGTGTAAGCAAGTGTCTACCAAAAAGAAAAAAAGAAAGAGAAAAAAGAAAATATATTCAATATATATAGTTTTTTCAATATAGGTTTTTGCATGGTCAAGAAGATCAAAATGAAAAAGAAGGTGGCTGAAACCAGGATAAAAACCTTCAATCCCTTAGGAAAGTTGCTTGAACAGCTTCTGTCGTCCAGCTTCTTGACTAGTTATGATTCCTTGCTGAGAATCTGACTTCCCTATGTGACCTTGGCCTGTGATTGGGCTTGGTTTCTCTTCTGTGATCTGACTTTGCTCTCTGGACTATTCTGCAAGTGGGTACTGGCTGCTGGCATCCTTATCCTTTGAAGCAGGACATAGCTTGACCACAATTGCCTATGTTTTTGGAACCCAAGATTGGACAACTACAATGTGCTCCAAGTGGGTTACCCTTGGAATTGGCCCAGAAGCTACAATTGGTGGTGAACACAGCAGGTAGATAAACTTGTGAAGTCAAAATGCTGCCAGCATATAATATACCTTACTTATGGGATCTGCACTGGCATCCAATCTGCTATCAGGCCAAGCTCAATATTTTGGTACTAATGTTTAAGATACAGCTCAGGACCCGGTTAAGAGGCCACCTTTTCTTAACATACCCAGTAGGTCACCACCCCGATGTATTTTTTGAAAGGGTGGATGAATAAGGAGAGTTATCTCAATTGCACAATGTAGAAGAGGAACAGAATAGGAATAGCAACCAGTCTCTCATGTACCACGGATTTTTGAAGGGCCTTTTGTATGTGCCACACATAATTGCGTCAGGGACTGGTGGGCACACTGGCACCTGTGGGTGCCACATTGACCACAAGGCTACCAACACAAGAAAATCCTGATCTTAGATGGTTTCCTTTATTGTAAGAAACATTCCCATTCTACTTCTTGCCATAAGAAAAGCTTTGGAAATCCTCTAAGGAAGGTAGTGAAGGAGGCTACAAGTCAGGGAGGACAGGAGGCTTGTTCAAATCATGCCACTTTTCAGTGCAGTAAGTGAATGTGACTACTGATAATTTCAGAATGAAATAAAGTAACAAATACATTAAAAACTTACTTTTTATGTTCCTGTTTATTCCTGCATTCAACAAATACAAGACCTTCCAGCCCTGCACACTTCTCTTCAGAGTCAAGCAGAGTATTCACAGGAACATGCTCAAGATCAACAGAAGCAGTAAATAGATGAAAAGCTGGGATTGTCCACAGCCACTCATTAATTTTTTCTTCGATACAATGATTGCAAAACCTCTTCAAATATTGTTCCACACTGAAAGAGAAATAAGAAACTAACGCCTACCAGTAAAGGATTTTTTCTAAATAAACAAAACCTGCATTAAAAGTACTTGTGCATGAAACCAAAGGCTTTGTGGTTCTCTGCATAGGGTGCTCTCTACAATACTTCTGCATTTCTGATATAGAAATACATAGACCATTGCAACAAAAAGGTAATAACATAGTCGCCCCAAATTAATTTCTGGTTTTGTTGTATTTCTGCTGCATTCTGAATGAGGCACAGGAGCTGTTAAGGCCAGAACAATGGGATTGGATTGAAAGTGTCTCTTTTGCAACTGCAACAAATCCAATGCAATGGAGGTCCCCAGTAGAAAAAGGCTGGGATACTTTTTTGCCAATCTCCAAAGCAGATTTTTCAGGAAGGAAACATGCAAGGGGAATCAGCAAAATCATCTCTTCCACTTCTGCCAGTGGCAGAACCAAGCCAGGAACCAAGCCAGCTATCTTTAAAATTGCACACAAAAAACGAGTCAAATTATATTTTTCTGTTGTGTCTCATAAAGTTACTACTTTTTCTCTAGGAGTACGGCATGCTGAATATTTCAACTTTCAAATTACAAAACAAGGAGTACTAAAAAGTTCAGAATTCAAAAGCTATTTTAATATAGTATAGTATGAGTAAAACTGCACAGAAATCATTAGAATTGATTGTCAAGTATTATATATTATAGTAAAGGACCCCTGACCATTAGGTCCAGGCGTGGCCGACTCTGGGGTAGTGGCGCTCATCTCGCTTTACTGGCTGAAGGAGCCGGCGTACAGCTTCTGGGTCATGTGGCCAGCATGACTAAGCCGCTTCTGGCAAACCAGAGCAGCGCACGGAAATGCCGTTTACCTTCCCGTCAGAGAGATACCTATTTATCTACTTGCACTTTTATGTGCTTTCGAACTGCTAGATTGGCAAGAGATTATATATTATATATTTATGTGACGTTTTCAGAAAGCAAAACTAAAATTCTTTGGTTTTCCAAAAGCAGTTTATGTCTTTCTTCATCTAATATACTTACCAAGCTAAATGGTGTCCCATCACAAAAATAGCTCAGTTGAATTCCTCACACCAAAAAACGTATTTTAAAGCATGGGTAGGCAATCTAATGCCCGGGGGCCAGATCCGGCCCAATCGCCTTCTAAATCTGGCCCGGGAATCCGTGTGTTTTTACATGAGTAGAATGTGTCCTTTTATTTAAAATGCATCTCTGGGTTATTTGTGGGGCATAGGAATTCGTTCATATTTCCCCCAAAAAAATATAGTCTGGCCCCCTACAAGGTCTGAGGGACAGTGGACCAGCCCCCTGCTGAAAAAGTTTGCTGACCCCTGTTAAAGACTGCTCACTGAAGAGGTTTGCAAGAGTTAAATTTCACCCCCTAAAATGACATACCCTGCTCTAGGAGGCAAAAAATTCAACAAGTGCATCTTTATGGAGATATAGCTCCTACTAGGACAACGGAAATTTCTCCCCTCTTAGAAGAAGAGGAGGAGGAGGAGGAGGAGGAGTTTGGATTTGATATCCTACTTTATCACTACCAGAAGGAGTCTCAAAGCAGCTAACATTCTCCTTTCCCTTCCTCCCCCACAACAAACACTCTGTGAGGTGAGTGGGGCTGAGAGACTTCAAAGAAGTATGACTAGCCCAAGGTCACCCAGCAGCTGCAGGTGGAGGAGCGGAGACGTGAACCCGGTTCCCCAGATTACGAATCTACCGCTCTTAACCACTACACCACACTGGCTCTCCCAAGGATTTTTTTATTTGTCAATCAAAAATGCTTGTGCTGACAGAAAAATCATAATTAAATGACACTTAATTCCTCCTGAAGTATAGAATTATGAGCCTGTGGAATTTTTGCATATCAGTGAGCTGCTAAAACAATGTCACAAACTTGAAACACTAGTCATTTAATTTTTCTATTCAAAACACTAAACCTGAATTTTCAAATCCAAAATTACATACCGTAGCTCATGTGGAAACAGTTCTTTGAAAGATTTTGCTTCATCTGCTGGTGGTTTCTCCAAACAAAGAAGGCTACATAACTGCACCAGATCATCTTTTGATGTTCGAAGGCTATAATATTCTCCTAGTACAAGAGTGATCACTGCCAGGCCCAGCTTATTTTTCTTTGCCTTGTTCCAAGATGGACAGCTTGCATTGTTCTGATTAAGGAGGGGATGGGCTGTTTCTCTTAAATAATTGATAATTAACTGCTTGATCTAGAGAAAAGGGTGAAAGTAATAAAACCAACTCCACCTATTTTCTTTAGAAGACAATTACTTAATCTGAAATGCTTATTCAGATTATCATTAAACGGTTAGATTGGCACAGAATTCTGGCCACAAATCAGGGCTAATGCCATACATAAAACAGAAACCATTAGTTGCTTCCAATGTCTTTAAAGGACTTATCTGCCCAGGCTTTCCATGGCCCATAAGTCTGGAACCAGTTTTATGCACCTGAACTAGATTAATTCCAGTTTCATTTTTTTATATGTATTTTGGAAGTTTATACACTACTGTTTCATTGTTGTACAATATTAAAGATCATTAAAACATATACCACCCAAGAGATATTTTAAAATATTATGCAGTTTATAAAAGGCTAGCAAATAAATAAATAAGCAAGCAAGCAAGCAAGCAAACCTGTGCACAAGTTGGTTCATGCAGCTCAAGAAGTTCCCACTTTGTCCCTCTCTAGAGTTGGGTAAACAAACCATGGAGTAGCTACCTTGGTATTACATGTGAACCAGCACTCATGATTTGCTTCACACAACTGAACCGATTTGCCACAAAGCTAAACAATGGAGTGGCTGACTTGTTTCCCCACTCTAGAAAAGGAGGAGCAAGGTGAGGAATACTTATACTCCCTGCACTACCACGCATGATTTGACTAACTATGGCTTATGGCCAGCATCAATGAAAATACTATGTCCAATAGCACATTCCAAAGTAATTATTCTCCTCTATACAGAAAACAGTGACATTTACAGATGTGATGTGTCCATTCTTTATGCTTAGTACCAAGGAACCTCCTCAGTGCCCAGCATAAATAATATGTCAGCTGAAAAAGAACAGAGCCAGCAGTGTACCTAGAGGTGTAGCGTGGGGGTATGTGGAGGGGCCATAGCCCCAGGCGCATGCTTTTTAGGGAATATGAGCCAGGTGCCCCCATGCAGGGATCCCCGTCCTGCCCTGCCTGCTGGTGGGGGTCTCTGAGCCCTCTCGCTCAGCCTGGCCCTGCTGCCGCCTCCCCAGCTCCCTTGCTGAATGGCCCAGCGTTGGGGGGGGGGGGTTTGCCTACCAAGGGCTGCATCAGGTAGGCAGGCAGGGGCGCAGCGTGGTCCAGCTTGGCACTAGCTGAGCTGGCATGCAGGCTTCATGAATCCTCTGCATCCCGCGCACCCAGGGGCATTGGCACCACGAGCTGACCTAGTGAGGTGGGTTCTGTTGATGGCACACACATGCGTGCTTGCATGGCCTAGGTGCCACAATGCCACTGAGTACCTTCTCTGCCAGTGCATTCCAAGTGAAGGTAGCAGCAATTAGTCCAGGGCTGGGTCAGCAGCTGCCTAAGAGTATTGTCCCTCTAGCTCTGCAAAGGCTGCACAAAATGTTATAGATCCATCAGATTTATTACAGGCAACTTTGTATTAATGTGTGTTGAGTGTGTGCAACTGTGTATACACACATTGCGCCGAACACAGAAGTGACCCAAAAAGTCACAAAAAGGGGCAGAACAGGGTGAGGCAGCGGCTGAACAGGGTGCTTGCATATATTTGAAACACTATTGAAAAAGCCTGCAATTTCATTTAAACATGTGGTACCTCAGAATATAGAAAATCTTGTTCTAGATAATTGCAACTTTGATTTACAATACCTCTTTTTCTCCAAACTGTAAATCAGTCCATTCCTTTGGCTTGTCCTCATATACCATTGGTTTCCGATACACCAAAAAAAACTGATGGAACTGATGGATGAAGCTGCTGACATTGAGAGGAGTCCAAGTGTTCAATATACTGAAGAGACTTTCTAGCATCACCTTTGCTGCTATTTGTTTTCCTTTCACAACCTCTTTCTCTGGATTTTTAAGCCCAGGAATGTTGTTCTTAATAGTATTCCATAAAGTGTCAGATGGTTTAACACATACTATATCGTCATACTGATGCCAATCTGTTAAAAAATATTTTAGGTTTCATTAACACAAGATCAGGTTTCAATAAATCCATGCGCCTACAGGCCCATAGCAAAAAAAGGCCATCCCTCTGGCAAATCCCCTCTTCCATCCCCTTGCACATGTGGAAATCTCTTTCACTAATTGCTGGTGTCTCCTGTAAAAGCCCAACCTGGAGGAGAAAAATCATGCAACTACTTTGTGCCATGCGCAAACTCTTGAAGAAAAACAGAAGTTATTTCCCTCCTGGGAGGGAGCTGGGGGCACTGTTATACAGTGGTTCCACTCCTTCCTTCTGGGCTGTGTTCAGAAAGTGGTGTTGGGGGATGACTGTTCAGACCTCTGGGCTCTCACTTGTGGGGTGCCTCAGGGTTCAGTCTTCTCCCCCATGCTTTTTAACATCTACATGCAGCCGCTGAAAGAGATCATCAGGGGGTTTGGGTTGGGTGTTCATCAGTATGTGGATACCACCCAGCTCTATCTCTCTTTTAAATCAGAACCAGTGAAGGCGGTGAATGTCCTGTGTGAGTGTTGGGAGGCGGTTGGAGGATGGATGGCAGCTAACAGATTGAGGTTGAATCCTGACAAGACAGAAGTATTGTTTTTGGGGGATGGGGGTGGGCAGGTGTGGGAGACTCCCTGGTCCTGAATGGGGCAACTGTGCCCCTGAAGGAGCAGGTGCGTAGCCTGGGAGTCATTTTGGACTCACAGCTGCTCATGGAAGTGCAGGTCAATTCTGTGTCCAGGGCAGCTGTCTACCAGCTCCATCTGGTATGCAGGCTAAGACCCTACCTGCCCGCAGACTGTTTCACTAGAGTGGTGCATGCTCTAGTTATCTCCCGCTTGGACTACTGCAGTGTGTTCTACATGGGGCTACCTTTGGAGGTGACAAAGAAACTACAACTAATCCAGAATGCGGCAGCTAGACGGGTGACTGGGAGTGGCCGCCGAGAACATATAACACCCGTCCTGAAAGACCTACATTGGCTCCCAGTACATTTCTGAGCACAGTTCAAAGTGTTGGTGCTGACCTTTAAAGCCCTAAATGGCCTTGGCCTAGTATACCTGAAGGAGCATCTCCACCCGCATCGTTCAGCCCGGACACTGAGGTCCAGCGCCGAGGGCCTTCTGGCGGTTCCTCACTGCGAGAAGTGAGGTTACAGGGAACCAGGCAGAGGGCCTTCTTGGTTGTGGCACCTGCCCTGTGGAACGCCCTCCCATCAGATGTCAAGGAAATAAACAACTATCTTACTTTTAGAAGACATCTGAAGGCAGTTCTGTTTAGGGAAGTTTTTAATATTTGATGTTTTATTGTGTTTTTAATATTCTGTTAGAAGCTACCCAGAATGGCTGGGGAAACCCAGCCAGATGGTTGAGGTATGAATGAATGGATGAATGAATGAATAAGTATATATATATAATAATTACTCCTGTATGTTAGGGCAAAGGAAGGAGCAGCAGGAGGACTGGGTACCTTCCTCTTCCTTTATGCACCAATGTGCATTTGCCATCCGCCATTATCGCCTGTAATATTTGGACATCACGACATATTGAGTCCTCATCGTGTGGATCACTTCCACACTCCCTCCTGCTGGTACCAGTCTGCTAGCTGCAGTCAACACTTTGAAAATTGTTCTGCCTGCAAAGCAGAGCCTTTGGAGGGAAAGCCTCAAGTGTTCCACTTTCAGCTAACTGGCAGATTCACAGAAGGTAAACAAGTGCTGCATGGATTGTTTGCAGGATGGGTAGGGAAGTAGGTTGCATTAATGCCAAGTGTTTTCCACCCTGCCATTGTCATCTACATTCATACCACAATGCACACATCAAGAGAGAAAACATGAAGGCAGGGAATAAAGCCCGTTCTGGTGGAAGGAATGGATATTAGATGCTTTGTCTACTCCTGGTTCACATACCTGCAGTAATGGCTGGTGGGGCTGTATTGTTGATCTGGTACCCCAATGCCACACAGCACTATGGATTATTGAGAGGGGAAGGGCAGGGGGGAATCTGCACAGTGGTGGAGTGGTGGATTGGCTCTGTATTGTGCCTGCACTGAGCTCCCTTCAATAACCAGCAGCGATGGAGGGAGTTGGGAAGTTAGGTCAGCAATGCAGCCCCACCTCTGGATACTTGCAAATACTGCAGCCCTTTATGATGATGGAAATGTATTTGCACTTAATCCAATCATAATTTGAACATCTATGTGTTTACAGAAGAGAAATTAGACTTTGTGTGACAAAATATGCATGGTTTTCATTTAGCTAGCTCTTCCAAGTCTCTGCGCAATAGCTATTCCTGGTCTTCCCCCATGTCTCCCACTTAGCATGGAAGAAGACTGCATCTACCGCTACTGGGGGAGTTTAAGAAACATCAGTTTAAGAAAAACTGTGCATCCTATGCACAGTTCCTTGGAATTAAATGCAATTAAGCTCTGTATTGCTTACTTCTGAGTAAACATACATAGGATCATGATGCAAAGACACTAAATAAAGTAAAAGGGGTGTCTTGATAACTGAAGTAATGGAGAAACAAGTACCCAAATTATGAAGCTGTAGACTTTTGCAATGTATGTACCAAGCATATATAAAGTCCCCTTTCATTACTGCGTAATCCTAATTATAATCCAATTATAATTGCTTTCTTCTCCCTAAATATTCCGTAAGTAGGAATGTTTGTTTGCTATTTTATAATGGTCTAAAGACCATTTGAAGTTCAATACATGAAATTTGATGTCCAGGACATTGACCTCAGATGATTTCAGCAACTGCTAAGTAGCATGAACAAATACATATTTCCACTGACTTCCACGGAGGTGCTTTCTGAATTCCACTGCTTCCATGTTCATTTAATTAATAGCCATATTCATTGGAAAGTTCTGCCCCAAGCAAATGGGGAGTTTTATATTTCAGTTTGGCAGGAAACATTACCCCCACAGAGAGAAATAATGTCTACTGCCAAGTCAGGAGGCTAGATCATACTACAGCAGCCCAACTTAGTAGCATCTGAATACTCTGGGTTACAACCCCTATCATCCCTGACCACGCTTGGTGGGACTGATGGGAACTGCAGTCCAATAGCATCTGGGGGGCTAGAGGCTGGGCAACGCAGTAGTACAGCAGTCAGAGTCACTAGCTCCTATTAGACATCCCCAGATGCTGGCCTGAGAAATGAAGCGGTGTTCAAGCAGCCCTCCAATATTGGCCCTTCTCTCATCTATGATACTGTCATCTATGCCTTCCTTCTAGCTACTTGGACTCTGTTCTATGTCTAGCACTTGTTCCAGAACTTCAGAAACTTCCATGGAGAAATGGTTTTATATACCATTTCTGTTTTCTTGGGATCTACACAAACCCTGTTTATAAAGTATTACCAAAACCACAATCATACGGCAGAGATAGTTCCTTACCTGTGCCACATAGTAGTGCTGGCTCTATAAACAAAAAACGATTTACAATCATTCCTTTCTGACAAGGTTTGTAAATGAATTCCCACTCTCCATCCTTCCCACGTGCAGCATAGTATTTATAGGGAATTGGTTTTTGGATATTATTCTTATGAATAGTTACGCAGCCTTCCATTAGGTGACCATGCTCACCAAGATCCCTAGTATTTTAAAAAACAAAACACAAATGTACATCTTAGCAGTAAAGCATGACAATAGGCAAAACTTTTCAACTAACTTTTATGGAAGGAGAGGTCTCCAAATATTTACCATTTAATATATAGTTATATGCCTTAAAACATAATGACCTGGAATAAACAGTGTTGCTAGATCAGATATGCATACATACTAAATTAAGAGGACACACACACACAACTCACCACTTTCCCCCATGTTGAATGATACTATTCTAAACACTGTCCCCTATTTATAGATGGTGTTCTACTCTCAAGAGGTTAATAGTGGAACAATCTACAAAACAATAATGTAGCCTAATAGCTATTATTGCAATATGTGGAACAAGCAAGCAACCTTAGTAGCCAGAGGGCAAGAATTCAGTAGCCTACATAGCATGTTGATGTGCATATAAAGTAAAGGATTCCTAGAGGAGATGTATGAGAGTTCACACAGTGACACATTATTCTCCCTTAAAGTCGGTCCAGTATTGGCCACATCACTCCATATTACAGGGTTTGCCTCCACCCCAGAGGTACATCCAGTTACAATACTTCATTATCATCATGCAAACTTCACACACACACACACACACACACACAGAAAAATAGTGCTCAAAATGGCTTACAAGGAAAACAGCAAAATGTTTTTAAAAATCAAGAGTCACAACTACCACTTCAAAGTAACAAGGATAACAACAACATTTGTATGCTGCTGCATTTATTTCAAAAAAACATTTCAATACTGTAAATGTAACATCATACCTCCTGGCAATAATAAAAATAGCAAAGGAGTTTTACAGTTTCACCTTGCTAATGAGAGAATAAAAATGACGTTTGTTCTTTCTGTAATATCTTTCTCCTCTGGTCATCATGTTTAATTGGAGACATGTTTAAAAGTAGACATCTGTTCCCAATCAGCGTGGCCCAATCACACAGTGGTTAATGAAAACTGCCTTATCTGAACTAGGGGGGAAATTAGTAACCGCAGAGTTGGAAAAAGATAAAGCAAGAATGCTAGGACAGAGGTACTGAAAAAAATCAAAGGGGACACTAAATACCTTGCCAGATCTTACTATTTGTTACCGTCATCTAGCACTTCTACATATAGCAATATTCTTTATGGCCCATGAATCCATTCCAAAGCTTGAATGAATGCACAAAATTGTACTCACTTTGTGAAAGTCATCTCACAGACATTGTCCTTCCAGTTAACATAGCCAGATATGCCTTGTGCCCTGACAAAAACTTTGTGCTTCCCAGTATCCAACTTGAAGTCCTTGGAAAGTATAGCATGAAAATATACTGTAACGCCTTCATCAGAACTCACATGGCTGCAACAGTGAAGACAACAATGGTCAGTATAACATATTTTGGTGAAGTTATGGAGTAGGGCACCACAATGTATCAGAACAGAAAATGGTTCCATGGCGTTGAACAGTCCACACCACAACTCTATATGTTAGAGGTGAGGAGAGGGAGAAAACTACCAAGAGGAGACACAAAGTATCACTGTATGAATAAAATTAGAGAACTCTTTCAGAAGCTTCAAGGAACAAATGATGAGATATCAAAACTCATGCTCTTTCCTATAAATTTCAGCTAATATTCATAATACCAAACAGTATGATCCAGGTTCACAAATCAGTTCAAACTATTCATCTTATTCTATACAAGATAGTTCCTATGGTCAGAAAATGCAAACAGATGCTCAAAGAATCCAAAATATGCCATTGCTGGGAACGAAAGCAATAGGCATTACTCAGAGCAGACCCATCTAAATTAAAGGACCTAATTTAGCCATTCTCTTTTTTTTTTTTTTTCACTATGTTGCAGTTTCTTTTAATTTCAAAGAAAAAAACTATATAACGGGAGCATTGCAGACATTCCATATATACTGAGTCATGGTGTTGTTTTTTTAAACTCAGGAATTCTGTATCCACTTACACGGGAGTAAGCCGCATTGAACTCAGTAGGACTTACTTCTGAGTAGAGGTGCATAGGATGGCATTGTTAAAAAAAAAAACTTAAGGGGTTTTTTAAAAAAAAATGTGCTACCCAATCCATACTTCCAGTTGAGAATAAACTGTTTCTTTGAACATAGTGAATGAACAGGCATAACTAAGATTGCTGTGTTCCACACACAAAACTCTTGTGATATTTTGGAAGAAATGACCAACTTGGTTTTCAACTTGCAGTTGTTGGGGCAATTATTCTGCATCCTCGTTCTGTCTCCAGCATGGATGGGCGGGTGAGATTCATGATAAGGCGCAGCATAACTAAACTGTTATTAATTGATTTTGTTTTATGTGCCCTCCGGGGGGGGAGTATTGCGGGGTAACAAACCGCAAACGGGGTGTGGGGGTGTGGCGGATGAATGGGAGAGGAATGAATTAGCGCATCCTGGGAGAATGCGGGGGGCGTGTGTCCAGAGGCGCCCCTTCAGCCTCCTTCCTTCTTCTTCGCAGTCTGACCCAATGCACGCTTGTCCAGACTGAGCTCCCCCCCTCAATCCGGGGAACAAAAGAGTGCAAACCCCCCCTCAAAAAAAAAAAAGGAAAAAAAGAGTGCATTGGCACGCAGGCGCGCAGCTCGGACCTGTGCGCTCTTACTCGAGAGCAAGCGAGTCCAGCGGTGCTGGTGAGGTGACTCTCCGGGAAAAGGTTAGTAGCATTTCTTTTTTTTTTTTTTTTTTTTTTTTAAAGCAATTTATTGGATTTTACAATAGGAATAAATTTAATAAAAAATATAACATTCGTCTTAACATAATTTCACATTTTCTTTGGACTTCCTCACATCTCCCGCACCCACCTTCATCATTATAACATTTTGTCAGCAATTTATCATCTTATTTAAATTCTTATATCTCTTCGATATTTCATGATCTCATAGTTCTCATAAAGAGTTAAACTTTCACAGTTTTTCTTATTTTCTTAAAAACTTCTAAGTTAAGTGGTGCTCAGTTATTTAGTCTAGCATCTTATTCAGCATTCAGTCAAATCACAATATTTTTGTAGGTAGTTCTTAAATTTCTTCCAATCCTCCTCGATTCTCTCTTCTCCCAGGTCACGGATTCTGCCAGTCATTTCAGCCAGTTGCATATAGTCTATCAGTTGCATCTGCCATTCTTCCAGTGTGGGTAGATCTTGAGTTTTCCAATGTTTTGCGAGTAGTATCCTTGCTGCTGTTGTTGCATACATAAAAATGTCTGGTCCTTCTTTGCCACCCCTTGGCTGACAATACCCAAAAGGAAAGCCTCTGGTTTCTTAGTGAAAGTATATTTAAATACCTTTTCAATTCATTATAAATCATTTCCCAGAACGCCTTCACTTTAGGGCAGGTCCACCAGAGGTGAAAGAACGTTCCTTCACACTCTTTACATTTCCAGCACTTGTTATCAGACAGGTGGTAAATTTTTGCTAATTTAGCCATTC